GGTTTAGGGTTCAGGGTCGAGGGCTTCGGGTACAGGGTTTACGGTCTAGAGTTTGGGATTTAGGAAGCTTTTAGGGTTTATTGCACCATCGCGACACTGCTGGGGCAGTTTCCTGAGCATGCCGGTTGAGGTTGGAGTTGGAGAATAAAATACGGCGAGTCCGAAGGCCTAGACGAGAGCGGTCTGGGAAAGACCGTTAGCCAAGTCACTCTTTGCAAACAATAATACCGAAATAAGACCCGTATGGGTATCAGTATCACAGTATCACCACGGTATGGCAGCACAGTATAGTCTAGTATAGTACAGTATAGCACAGTGTAGTTCAGCATTCTCGGGATTCTTGTCTGACTCCTGGTAAGCCTGCTCAAGACTGCAATAACTGTTCTAAACTGTCATCCCAACACTCTCAGCAGATTTCTATTGCAACTGAATGCCGTCTTGCAGGTGTGCCTAGAATTCCATGTATAACAAACAAACACCCCTGGTCTGAGTGGTTTTCAGCATATACCCTAAACCCCAAAAGCCCTAAAGGTGTAACCTCCTTCCCTAAGCTCCAACACCTGTCCGAAGAGGTTCGACACCTGCGAGTTGCCTTGAATCCTCGTCCGGGTGGATCTCCCTTGACCACCGCAAGCACCCCCCCTAAACCCTAAGCCCTAAACCCTAAACCCTGAACCCTGAACCCTAAACCCAAAACCCTAAACCCATAAATAAAAAGAAGCGCAGAAACAGAACCGTTGCACCGGATCTTCGCTTCAAGAACCTAGAGAACCTCGGAGTCAGAGTGCTGCCCCCCTGCTATTCGCCCCCAGCTCCCAAATTTAGGGTTTAGGGTTGAGGGTTTAGGGTTTAGGGTTGAAGTACATGACCTTACCCTCCAAGGACACAGATTTTAAGGCTTCCGGGCCCAAAGACCCGACTATATAAGGCTTTCGAAGGGTTTAGGGTCAGGCTTCACCTACTTTGCCCGAACCCTACCATCCCGCGGTGCCCTGCCTGGGGGCAGGAAGGATCTTATGTACCATCTTAGTGGATTTAGGGTTTAGGGTTTAGGGTGGGCAGGAAGGTTCTTATGTGGGCATTGCGATTCTGCAAGGGGGGGTGTTCTCGCGCCTATTAAATAGGCCTAAAACACGAAACCCGAAATCCCTAAAACCACAAACCCCAAAAGCCACCAAAGCCCTACACCCTAAACCCTAAACCCCTAAACCCCTAAACCCCTAAAACCACTAAACCCTGAAACCCTGAACCCTGAAGCCCCTAAGCGCCAGTATCCCCAACCCTCTAAGCCCTAAACCCCAAACCCTTTAGATAAACCCTAAACCCTTTTAAGCCCTAAGACCCAAACCCCAAAACCTGTAGAAACCCTAAACCTTTCTAAACCCTAAACCCTTCTAAACCCGAAGCCCTAAACCCTGAACCCTTCTAAGCCCTAAACCCTAAACCCTTCTTAAACCTAAACCCGAAACCCTTGTTCACCCTCAACGCCGGTACTTAGGACCCTTTAAAGGGGAACCCGGAGAGCCTTGGCTTTCATGTGAGCTTGCGCCACCCCAAAGAGGAGCTTCCTGGGCGCATGTAAGGCTTTGGAGTTTAGGGGTTTAGGGGTTTAGGGTGTAGGGCTTTAGGAGTTTAGGGTTTAGGGGTTTAGGGCTTTAGGGTTTAGGGGTTTAGGGTTTAGGGTTTAGAGTTTAGGATTTCGGGGTTGCTTTTGATAAATTGGCTGGTATGCCGTAGCGCAGACAGGAGCTTGCTGCTGCCCTGCTGAAACATGACGGATAGCTGCAGCTCGGGTTACCTGCTGCCTGCTCCGAAAAGACGCTCGGGAACTGGCATTCGCTGCTGTTGAAAGACTGCTAATTAGTATGCAGAAGCCAAGAATCTGCTACGGAAAGACTGCTCGGGAAGTGGCGCTAGCTGCTTTCGGAAAAACCGCTGGTATGCCGTAGCCCAGACCGAAGTTTGCTGAAAGATGGTTGAGGATACCATTATTTGTTGCCGCAAATTGGTTGCCGCCTGTTTTGAAAGATTGCTGAAACTACTAAACTTTGATGCAGCACTGAAGGAAAAAAGAAGAGGGCGGCCTCTATGGGTGCATAGAGATTCGAACCCAAATATGCGAACACTGAAGATGCCATGCCATCCCGAAGGGTGCTTGATTCCAATGGTTCACATCTGGCCCTATCGGTGTTTCCCGGAATATCTCTCGACGTTCACTTGACCTTGTCCTCAGCACGATAGCTTGGCAGCTGCCCAAAGGGTCCCGCTTGCACTGCGCCCTCCGTAGGATCGCCATATCACTGGTCGTTGCCGTGGTAGAAGCTGAACATAGTCCGTCCTCGCCGGGATCTTTGACAAGTCGATGTCCGGTCGGAAACTCGTCCCAACCGTCGCCAACTCTTCCTCGATCCCATTGACCGGTAGGCGTGCATATCATGTTGGCCATTCTCTTCATTGACGGAAACAGAGGAGGGCCACTGTTCACCCTTATGATTCAAAGCGACGACACAAGGTCCATTTATTGCTGTCTTGAGAGTTTAGGGTTTAGGGTTTAGGACCGTTTAGGATTTCGGGGTTTAGGTTTGCATACCCAAAAATGCAGGTCTAGGAGCTAGAATTTAGGGCTTGGGCTTTCAGGATATAGGGTTTTAGGTTCAGGATTTCGGATTGGGGTTTGCGGCTAATGCATGCTTAGGGCTTTGATGGTTGAAAGCGCTGAGGGAGAGCATGCCGTCGTGAGGTCTCAGAAGCTCGTGAATTCGGCCCTCGGCTGTTAGTTGCAGAAATCAAGGTTTCCATGGGGTAGTGGGAGGGGAGAGGGGCCAAAAACGTCTCCCTAGCACCGTCTGTGCTTTGTTGCCGGCTTCCGACACCACTGTACCTCAAGTTCCCCTCCAGGCAAGCGCGCGATGTCGCTGTTCTCCTTCATTGCCTATCGAAGGCTTGGCGCTCTTCTTCGTGGCCTTCTATCGGCCTAGCTGCTTCCTACACACTCTTCACGGTTCTGCTCGTTTGTCAGTTGTATCCTTCTTTTCACTTACGTTCTGCTTCAACTCTCGCAAGCGGCTTCGGGAGGGGTTGTTCGAGTTTGGCAGTGGCCAGGAACAAGCAGCGACTGCTAGCAGTCTTCCACCGTTCTGCAGCGGCCGAAACCCCCTGTGGGTAGTTTCTGAATTCGGGGCCCTTTTAGGGTCCTTTTCATAAGGATGCCGTACTATGTTCGAGACCTAAAAAGGGACCCTAATCTAGAGAACGGCCTACGCATTGTACGTTTTGCGCCTCTGACACAAACACACACACACACACAACGAATAACAAAAAACAGACACAAGATGACTCTGAACCCCAAAATGCCTCACGAAGAAAACATGTCCGTCTCAACCCCCAAAAACCCCAAAACCCAAAACACAAAGCCGGACCCTAAAAAGGGATCTGAAGGGACTCTGCTGAGGATGTAGGGTTGCGTGGTTTAGGGGTTTAGGGCTTTAGGGGCTTAGGGCTTTAGGGGCTTAGGGGTTTTAGGGGTTTTGGGGTTTAGGGGTTTATGGGTTTAGGGGCTTAGGGGTTTGAGGGGTTTTAAGGTTCAGGGTCTGGGGGTCCCGGCGCACTCCAGCGCTTGTCTCCCATGGTGTCTGCAATGGCACGGGCCTGGTCCACGGCCTCAATGGCCTTGCGGGATGGGCGTTTTAGGGTTTAGGGTTTAG